TAGTAGTAGTAGTAGTAGTAGTAGTAGTAGTAGTAGTAGTAGTAGTAGTAGTAGTAGTAGTAGTAGTAGTTGTTGTTTTGCTGGAAGGGACCTTAGAGGTCTTCTAGTCCAACCCCCAGCTCCAGCAAGAGAGCTTCTGCATTTTCAGACAAATCGTAGTCCAGTCTTTTCTTAAAATCCTGCGGCACTGGAGCACAAATACACAAACACACCCATGCATACACGCACATACAGGTGCACACACAGAGATAACAGTGGGTCAATAGTGTGCTTTATTTAAGAATGCAGAAAGACCCGTTTCACAACTTCAACAACTTCACAAAAACCCAAGGAAGAACTTTTGTACAACTTTGACAAACGCGCCTTAAAAACAAGTCACAACTTCTCAGAAATCCATGCTTGTCCCCCCCCTCCCCCCCAGGACCCACGGATTAGGGGGTGCGAGGGGGAGAAGGGCTCTCGCCCACAGATTGTGGCTGACTGTGGGGAGGGGGGGATTGGAGCCCTTTCAGCTGGGCCAGCTGCCCAACCCAACCACAGCAACTGGGAACCCATTGGGAGGCTGTCCGCCCGCTTTCCCGGCTCTATTCGCCGGCAATGTAGATGAACCGACGTTTCTCCAGTGCACTGATGTCGTGTTCCAACTGCTTCATCTCTGTCTCCAGCTTCTCTTTGCGGAGCCTCTGCGGGATGGTGGTGATCTCCACGGAGAGGCTCTGGAAGTCCTTGTTGATCTCCTCCCAGTTGTTCTTCAGGCCCTGCAGGGAGGGGCCAGAGAGAGAGGAGGGTCGGGTGGGGGTTGCCTGTATTTGGTTCCCCCTCGCCACCCCGTGTTTAGCCCACGTAGGATGGAAAACGGATGGTGTTGCCTAATTGGCTCGTGAAACGCCTGCCAGGAAACAATCAAGCTTCAAGACCATTGAGGATCCTACAGTCCTCCTCCCCCTCCCCATCTTCTAGCACTGATGACGTTCCATAGTTGGGTCATGAAACGTCTGCAAGAAAACCAGCATGTTTAGAAAGCCCCAAGGATCCCACAGTCCTCCTCCTCCCCTAGTTGCGTCATGAAACCACCCAGCTCAGAGAGCACCAAAAACCCCACAGCCTCCACCTCCTCCTCCTCTCTACACTCTCCCCACTTCCAGCCCTGATGATGTCATCTAGCTGGTTCCTGAAACGCCTGCAAAAAGCAAACAAGCTCAGAGACCAGAGAACCCCCCACAGGATAGAAATCATGGACCAAAGTCATACCAACCCATTCATTTTTGTTTTAAATCAGGGAGACGTATGTAAGATTTAAGAGGGCAAACAGGGTCCAGGGGTGTTTACCTCCCTTTCCCCAACCTGGCGCTCCCAATGGATTGCGCTGAGCGGCCCAAAGTTTCAACCAGCGATCCATTGAAAGTGCGTGCGAGTCTGCACAGGGACTGGGTAGACCTCCGAAGCCCCGGGGTGGAGTGGGATACTTGGTAGATGTTAGAAATTCGGTAGCACCACAGATCAAACAATGTGCACAGTCACCATGTGTTTTACTGCTTAACTGTAACGGAACAGGACACAAAGGAACTAAAGACGCTAAATAAATATCTATATAGCCATAGATGCTAACTAAACACTGCCATGTACTGGCTGATTAGAATTCCAATGGGGGGGAGGGGGAGGCATCTGCTTACGTCCAAGATGCTTTCCCGTTCGCGGGAGGAGAGACGGGTCAGCCGCTTCTTCTGCAGGCACTCCCGCCGAGCGGCCACCCGTTCTTTGCGCACGTCCACGGCTTCTTTCTTCCACCTTTGGATGTATTTGGGGGTCACCCCGAAGTCCTACGAAGGAAGAAGCGCGGTGCTTGCAATTCGTGGGGGAGGGTCGTAGATGGGCAGAAGGACCCCACCCGTCTCTTTCAGGGCTGGATCTTGGGGAAGGAGGAGGACGCCTGGCACTTATCCAGGGGAGTGGGCTTCCTTTGTTATGGGTGGGCTCGGCAGGATCAGCTTTCCACCTAACCCCAAGCTCCACAGGGCACCTGTCCCAAATGGAGCATGCAGAAGGCAGGAAGGGTGCCAGGCATTCAATTTATCTATGCCTGCCTGCCATCTATCTATATCTATCATTTATCATCTCCCTCCCTCCATCCGTCAGTCTGTCTGTCTATCTCTATTATTCTCTCTCTCTCACACACACGCACACGCACACATACACATCTTTCATCTATCTCTATCTAGCTATCTATCTCTATTACTTCTTTCTCTCTCCCCCCTCTCTCTCTCACACATACACACACAAACATCTTTCATCTATCATCTATCTATCTATCATCTATCTACCTATCTACCTATCTATCTATCTATCTATCTATCTATCTATCTATCTATCTATCTATCTATC